TGAACCATTCCTTTTATCATCACACACATTTCAATTTCTATTGTTTCTCGATTTCCACTGAACAGTCAGTAGTAAACTGGCCATAACCTACTTTATAAAAATCCAATTGATGAGCGGTTTGAATCTTTGGAAACTAGAAAGATAGAGCCTTAATTTGATATATTATATGATGAATTTGAATAACTATAGTCCTACGGCCGAACCATTCATTTTATCATCACACACATAAAACCAATTCAATTTTTAGTGATGACAAAGGAAAACAAATATTGCTATGCAATTTTAATTGTGTTTGTTCTATCTCTTTTTGTTGATATTTTTTTATGTTACATACATATATCAAAAACAGGCTGTTGCTGAATATAACAAATTTTATTTGTATCACAAATATCATTTGATGTTTGTTGTCGAACCATGTAGCTTTAGTAAACCATTTATTATATGCCGAACCATTATTATTATCCTTAAAGGAAAACAAATAATGATATGTAGTTTTAATTGTAATTATTCTATCTCTTTTGTTGATATCTTTTAATGTTACATACATATATTATGAAAAGAGGTGGTTGTTGAATATAACTAATTTCATTTATTTAAAAAATATTAACTGATGTTTGATGCTGAACCATATAACTTTAGTAAACCATTCATTTTATCATCACACACATTTAGGTTTCCACTAAACAATCAGTAGTAAATTGACCATAACTTGCTCAATGAAACTCCAATTGATGAGAGGTTTGAATCTATAGAAACTATATAGACAGGGTTTTAATTTGATATATTATATGTGTAATTTGGATAATTGTAGCCCCACTGTCAAACGATTCCTTTTATAATCACACACATTTTGGTTTCTATTGAACAATCAGTAGTAAATTGACCATAACTTTCTCAATAAAAATCCAATTGATGAGAGGTTTGAATCTTTAGAAACTAGATAGACATAGCTTTAATTTTATATAATATCTACTTAATTTTGATAAATGTAGCCCCGCTACCTAACCATTCATTTTATTATCACACACATTTTGGTTTCTACTAAATAGTCAGTAGTAAATTGACTATAACTTGCTTAATAAAAATCCAATTGATAAGAGATTTGAATCTTTAGAAACTAGACATACAGAGCTTTAATTTGATATATTATATACTTAATTTGGATAACTATAGCCCTTCTATCTAGCCATTATGTTTATTATCACACACATTTTGGTTTCCTCTGTTTCTCGATTTCCACTGAACAGTCAGTAATAAATTAGCCATAACTTGCTCAATAAAAATCCAATTGATGAGCGGTTTGAATCTTTGGAAACTAGAATGCTAGGGCTTTAATTTGATATATTATATGATGAATTAGGGTAACTATAGACCTGCTTCTGAACATTCATTTTATCATCACACACATAAAACAAATTCAATTTTAGTGATGACAAAGGAAAACAAATATTGATATGCAGTTTTAATTGTATTTGTTCTATCACTTTTTGTTGATTTTTGGATTGATTTTATTGTTTGATTTGTGGGTTTTACAATTATTGTCTTTCTTTAGGATGTTATCATCAAATGCTTTTTTTGCTATATATAGTGGTCAATTCTAATTGCAGCAAGTACATTTGTGTCATAGGACCTTTATCTTCATGGCTTCTTCAATGCTTCAATTAAGTTGCCTTCAAATTATACTGTTGAAGTTGTTGTTGCTTTCTATATGAGTTCTTTTCTCAACATTTTTAATTTCTAAAATAATAATAATAAAAATAATTCATTTTCTCTTCTCAACAATCAAAATCAATTTTTCCTTTGGCTCTACAAGTCTCTTGCTTAAAAGTTCACATTTTTCGACAAGGTTTCTCTTTCTCTAATTGATTTATAGACTTATCAATAATAACCAATGGGTTATCTTGCAAACTTTTTTGCTTTTCTTGACAAAGTTTTAAACTTTAGTTGCAGATTTCAAATGGTGACATATTTGAGAAGAACCATGATGATATAGACTTTGAGTTCAATTTGTGGATATTTTATTTATTGATTTTTTAATTATCAACTCAATATAAAATGAACTTCAATATAGAAAATATATATTTAAAAGACAAAAAAACCAATAATAATGTAAAAAAATATATGATAAACATACCTGCACAACGCAACTTGAAAATGAATATAAGCTACAGAAATTGCTGAAGGTTAGTATAAATTTTAAGTTTAAATAGTTGATCTTGATAATATTTAGGTGATCTTAAATATCATACACGATTCATTACAAAATACTGACATCGAATATTAAAGACATGTCTGCAAAAATAATATCAATTGTACAAGGTTATGATCTTGAAAATATAATTAGACCACATAATACTCAGGTGATCTTCTCAAGTTGGATGAATGATTTAATGACATCTACCTATAATTGATATTAATAATTATATAGGTACAATTATTAATTTTATCTTAACATAATTTTGTATATATATAAAATTTGTATTTACTTTAAAATTTGTATAATTTTACAATTATTATGTCTTAATCTAATTAGTTTATTTTGTTAGAATAAATTTGTTTCAAAAAAATTGAATAAACATACCTGTGCAATGCACGGGCCCCATGTCTAGTTGATTGTATAAGACAAGATTGTGTATGGAACGATTGATTTGTAGCCTTGCCCAGGTATAGGTTTTTGTCTTTAAGATTGTCTTGTGCTTAATGGGTTTCCGTTATTAGACTAGGCTATACGCCACTAGCTAGTTTAGTTGATGGAAACACTAGGTTAATCCAAATGACCGCAGTAATACCTTAGAAACGAGAGACGTCGTGCCTATCTTGATTAGCTCCGTGAATGAATGATTTGTGTCTATACGAATTGGTTCCTTCGTTATTTTGACTAGGTTATACACCACTAGTTAGTTTAGATGATGAAAGTACTTGGTTGAACCCGATGACATACGAACCCTAGAATAGAGTGGAGAGAACAATTGTTTGATGATGAACTCATTGCTTGATAATTATGATGGAGTTAGAGCCCTAGGATCCTTTGTATATAGTTAGATTAGGTTTACTTTAATGTTGTTTACGTGTTTTTCTTTATTTCATTCTCGTTTTGATTCATCAAGGCATAGTTACTAGGATTGCAAGAGCATCTCTAGTCTCTGTGGGGTCAACCCTTACACATGCACTATGCTGCGATTGCAACTCATGCAGTTGTGAAGGATTAAACTTTGTATCTGTCAAACAATCTATCTAACCAAATCCAAGATTTTCCATCACGAACACATGTAGATATAATACTTGTCCTAGAAACCAAGTTTCATTGAGGCATTAGATCAAACATTGTACTAGCACTCAACATATCACCACAAAGCACGAATTTTTTATGATATTGTGCTCTAATAGTATAACTCTGATAGATCCAGTTTTGATAAAGAGACAATGAAGTGACTTTGCATAGTTATTAAGTTATTTAGCACCACCAAAATGTTGCAATAGTGAGACACAATCTTGAAAGCAAAAGCCAACAACTATTGCAAAATGTATTGAGCAAAGCAACTATTAACATCTTAACGTTGATTTGTGAATAAACTTGAAGATCAGTGGCAGTTGTGGGCTAATCGGTGTCTAGTGGGTGGTTGTTGACTAGAAACTCGAATGGAGATTGGGTGGGAAGGATATTGGGTAGTTGGGGTCTCGGGTGTCTAGCTTTAGAGTTGATTTGGGTTTGGGGATACACCTCGTTGAGAACTCACTGAAGTTAACAATCTCCGTCGAAAAAGGCACAGAGTAAACTCCAGAGTTAGTGAGCAAGTCGGCATATACTAAACAAGAGTGGTAGAAACGAAAACTTTTTTTCCAATGCCGAAAGTCGGTCGACTGTGAGGGTTTGCACAAATGAGTAAAATAGCGGATAAGCAAAAGCTTTAGGAAAAAAGTGATGGGAATAAACAGTGAATTTGTGGGAAACTTTTGCCTTGGTGAAATACCAGGTAAGCAAATGTTTTAGGGTTCTTTTATTTTTGTTTTTTCAACTTAATCCTTAACAATAAAAAATTGTCAAGGATTGAGACTACAACTGTCAAGAACAAAATTTGTAAAATTTATTTTTTACCAAATCTTTGACAGTTAATAACTGTCAAAAATCATCCAAAATGGTCAATAAATATTTCAAATTCTTGATAGTTCAAAAATTGTCAAGAATTAAAGTTCTTGATAGTTTTGAGAACATTCAAGAAAATCTATCAAATTATTATGTCAAGGATGAGGTTTTTTCTAGTACTGTTTTAACAATGAAATTGAAGGCAATATTTCATACAAACATTATCATTATTAATTAAATTTAGTACAAATTCTAAGCATTTAAGAATTTTTTTTTCTTTAAATCTTTACACGGAGGTATTTTTAATAGTTTTCGAAAATCGCTTTATGATGTCATAAGGCACATAAAATTATCCTATTACAGAATTCAAAATCAGTTTCAGTTTGTCCCACTAGAGCAATGTTTCACCAATAAAAAAGCAATCATTTGTGTTTATTACCTTACATCGAAATGACAAGAAAACAGCCATGTTATGAAGAGTATGTACATTGAAGTTTTAACAACTCAATCAACTTCATGGGTCATAATTATATTTCAAAAAGCATAGTATCACATTATCAATGGCGAATTCAAGTTTTTGCCTTTGCCTGTGTTTACACTTCAACTCAACACTGACCTATAGAAGTGAGATTAAACACAAGAAGTCAAAGAAAAAATCCTGTTATAAGCAATCCATGAACCTGTAGAAGTGAGATTAAACACAAAGTTAACACAAACATCAAATAAAATAAGATAAAAAGAAATAGGATGACATGATAATACATGTACTGGGAATGACCTTTCATTCACATACATTCTATTACCCAAAATGACAGATTCCAAACATCCAACAAAGGACTCAGGGAACACAGCATCTTACCTGTTTTTGTTATTTAAAAAAAAAAAAAAAACAACCAAGAATCGATCCCCACAACATGAATGAAATGAATAGTAGTAAAAGTTCAAAATACTTTGACTAAACAACTTAATATTAACAATATACTACAAATCCACACCATGGATGAGTTAACAACAACAGTCGAATGGTGTCAAAATGTGGTGCTACTTTCACTTGCAGAAAGAGAAGGGCCTTCGGATTTCACAAAACTCGATCCTTTACTACTATTACAGATGTCAAGCCCTTGTAATCGACCAACTGAGTCATTTTGTGAAATATCAGACATGGGGTGAGACTTTGTTTGATGTGGATGATGATCCGTCAGGGTCAGGCTTGATTGCGGATGATTCATCAGTGGCAACTGCAAATTCTGGTGGCCAGCAATTGAACCTGGTTGTTGCACAACTACAACAATGTTCGACTTGTTGTACGGCATTGACTGTATTCTCGAATTATACGATTCAGAGGAATTCATTATTTCCCCAGTAGCAATCTTAAGCCTCTCAACTTCCTTCGTCAACGCTTCATTGAGAGCTTCAGAGTATCACCACAAAACTAAATTCACAAAATCATTCAACAAAAATAACTCCAATGATGACACATAAAAGATGTTATCAATCCCAAATCTCACCATCACAAAACTGAGCTTGTTGCTCCATCGCTTGTAGCCGAAGCTTTAGCTCTGTATTTTCGCTACTCAAACCCGTTGTATCCCTCTATTATAAATAAGATAAAGGTGACAATTTTAACTTAGGACTTAAGATAATCTATTCTACCAAAATTTAAAAAAAAAATAATCCATGCTAATTAATTAAGTTTCAGTTCACATAATACCGAATATGGCTCATTTGACAAGTAAATTAAACGAAAGAGAAACCTGAAACAAAGTGAGCTGGGCGGAAAGAGTTGTGGCTTCAGTTTGAAGTTTCTGAACTTTGCGTTCAAGTTCTATTATATAACGAGCCTTTCTCTCTTTTGAACGAGCAGCTGACTGCCGATTTGCCAATATTCTACATACAAATTATATATGTATTTTTTCAGTAAATTAAATTTCCCAATACTTTTTATTTTACATTATACTAAAAAGAAAAAGAATAATTAGAATGAAACCTTTTGGCTCGTTTGGGATCAACATTCCAAAGCTCAGCTAATTTATCAGGAGTCATGGCTTTTTTAGCTTCCATTATCTCGCCATATCCATCAATAGAACCAGTATGCCTGTGCCTATTATGTCGTCCCTTACACGACGTCGTAGTTGTCCCACTTTGATCCGCACCGTTTTGTCCACTGTCACCATTACAATTCCCATTACCATTACCATTACCATTACCTCCTCCTCCTTCGGCAGTTAACTTGTCGACGTCAATGTATGTGGAAAACAAGTCATCCTCTGACCGAATCTCCTCCTCACCACCACCAATCGGATCTGACGTCATAATCATCGTCATAGTGTCGAAGCTCACCTCGGAATGGACCCTCCTGTGGTGGTGAGTCTCGTTTTGTAAAAATGGCACCACATTGTTTTCGAATGTGGATGATGATGATGGGTTTTGGTTGATTTCGGGTTTAGGTTCGGGTTGTGTATCTTGTTTTTTCATTCCTTTCGACAATCACAACAACAACAATGCTGCAATTGCAATTCGATGCGTAAAAAGAGGAAGATTATTATTAATTATTTATTATGTGTCGCTGTAAATACTCTTTTTTTCTTTTTTTAACTGTTTACCGTTTTCTATTTGTCGGGCGGAGAAAACATAATTTTATATATATATATATATATATATATATTGCTTTCTATTTTAAACTATAGGCCGGCTGTGCTCCGCGTAAGTTTTGAAGTTACCTTATACAAGATTCTGATGAATCCTTGCTTTAGTACTTATATTTATTAATTACAAAAATGTTGTATAATTAAAAATTGATAAAATGCCTAATAAATTTCATTTTGCTTGTTGGGTGGTAAAAACATACAGAAGTATTCTCAACATGTGTCCTCCAAGGTAATTAGCCATCAGGGCATGTGGCCACTTTCTAAAAGGCAAAGCTTCAAGGGAAAGAAAGCCAACCGCCTCTTCAAGACTACATGTCCGTCTACATGTAGAGTACTTCACCCCCTAAGGATGCAAGTTGCCTAGCAATTCACGTGTCAATTTGCATGTTAGTTACTTCACCTATAAGCCAACTACCACAGTGCCACATGTCCAGTTGCATATAGATTATTTCACACCAAAAATTGCCCTTGGAATACTATAAACAAGGGGTTCCCACCCCAAACAAAGGATATTTTCATCACTCGCACCACAAGAAGCACTAAAGTAATAGTCTCTCTACAACAAATTCTCCTTATATACAAATAAATAAAATAACAGTAGACATAGGAATTGCTCTATGCATCTGAACTACTTTAAAAATTGTTGTTTTCTATTTCTCTATTTACTTTACACATTTATTGCGCTTTGCGCCTCGTTTACTACACACACAAGTCACATTGAATCCACGGGTTCAACATCATATTTCCTATTTCTTGATCTTTTATAGATCCTTTGCACAAACTTTCCAAAGGCTTGCGCACCTCTCGTTGGTGTGAAAAAGCGAGTTAACATTTTGGTGCTAGCTAGAAGGAGGGCCCTCGCTACGCTTTTCCAATATACCGGTAACTTTACCACAAACCTACACTATGTCTTCCACAGTGCGTATTACCAGGTCTAACTCCAAAAATCTCGTCCCTGCAAATCAGGTAGAGGAAACTTCCATTAGCCACTTGTAAACCATCCCTAAGGAAAACTGACCGATGGGACTAGGAAATGGAGTGAACACCTCACCAGAGAACCCTCAAATGATGAACGTCTTGGGAACATTAACCACTGTGGTCCAAACATTGGTGCAACGCTTGGATGCTACAACAAATACACTAGGAATCGAAGACAAAATCAACCTAAAGTTCCTCGAAGAAGGATACCGGGGGACCAATTGCCTTGTTCATCATGCACGGCAATAGAAACATGTCAACACGCCCCAAAAGTCGATAATGAACATCACCATAGGTAAACATGCAGTAGTGATGGCCTCTGTAGGCATAATAACCTACCTTGCCCTCAAGACTAGTTCCTAATGGTGGCAGGTGACACGGAGAGCTTAACCCACGTTGCAACATGCAACAGCAATGTGTGGGTCAGAATCCACATCAAAATGCTGATCACAACTAGCTCGTAGGAGGCAATACACAACCTGAATTTTGCTAAAACAATCACTCACCAAGCAACAACACGCGAGAAAAAGTGTTCGACAAACTAGGAAGAGGAAGGCCCAAGCTCTACAAAGGAATTGGCGTAATCATCAAGTCACGACACAAGGTAACAATAGACCCCCATGGAGGTCATAGAAAGAAGTTTCCCTCCTGGATGACAATTAGAGGATATGCAGCGAGCTCTAGATGAATTTCGAGCTAGGTAGGAAGAACGAACAACCAGATATGGGGGGGGTCCCCATTTTCTCTTGAATTTCTTAATGAGCCACTCCCCCCAAAATTCAGAATGCCCGATGTCAAAATCTTTGATGGTTATGGCGACCCACAAGACCATTTGGATGTATTCAATTACTTGATGGAATTACATCAGGTCTCTGACCTAGTCAAATGTCATTTTTTAGTAGTAACTCTAAGCACATGAGCAAAGAAGTGGATCAAATCGCTCATTGCCAAGTCAATCACATCGTGGAAGCAATTAAGTACACAATTTCTTAGACATTTCCAAGCCAATTAGAAATTCTTCATGCCACTGAACTACCTTAGAAATATTCTCCAAGGTAAGGAGGAAACCCTGAAATCCTATCTAGAATGGTTCAACAGCGAGCTGAATCGAGTAGTGAATGCTCCCAAGGAGTCAATACGAACACTAATCATAGCGGAAGTCCACCAGCAAATGGATTTGTGGAAGGATCTGCATGTAGGGATTTGATAACGAGTCAAAGGTAGCGGAAAACAAAAAAAAAAATTATTATATAAACCCTTAACCCATGAATCCCGGAGTTGAATATATATATATACATTACTTATTACTTATTACTTATTACAAAACTTTAAATTAAAACCATACAAGGATTTAATGACAATACCTTTGTTTGGAGGCTTCTTCAAAATCTTTGAATTTCACTTTCAATTCAATAATGGAATCATGCACCCGATATCCACACGAAATTAGAGAAACAATTATAAGAAATTGAATTTGCTAGAACCAATTTCTTGTTTCAAGGAAGAATTTTAAGAAGAAAAATTGAGAGAATTTTTCTTCTCTCCTTTTTGGTGAGTGACGGCTAGGATAGGTGAATAATAATAAAACCTAATTTCAATTATGCTTTTATAACATAATTAAAATATCCTTTCAACCCCTTTAGCTTAGTTAAATCCAACCTTAATTAGAATTGCTTATTGACCCTATTTAATTATTAGATTTTAATATTAATATTAATTTCTAATGAGTAAAATTATAATTTTGCTAAATTATTCCAATACTAAAATTGGACATTGGCTACAATCTAAGCAAATTTAATTGTATAGCAAAATTACCAATATACTGATTCATTTTAAAGATGAATATACCCCTAAAAAATTAACTATCCTTAAACTGCTTTCTAAGTATGTGACCTGTAGACTCTTTATCATATCGGTAGTGAGTAGTATCACGATTAACACTCAACTAATCATCTCACTGCATATAAACCAAGATTGGCCTCTAGCAAGACATCATGGCCACATGATAGATACAGATTCAGCGAAATAGCTTCCTATCAATGGTATGGTTGCCGTGCAATCCAATCCTTTCATCATCTATTATCTCTTTAAGGTTTGAAGTATAGAAATAGTGTCAACTTCAAATAAACTACCTTAATATATCAGTATTTGGTCATTGGACCAACGACCAAACCAAATTTGATTTGAGCAACAACTCAATTCCATTGTGGGAATAGATTTACAGTCATTGCCATTTACCGAGTTACACTATGAGATAATTTCTATTATACCCAAGAATGATGAATCCTATGCCGATCCACCATAGCCATAGTGTACTTCTCAATGTAGCCAATCACTATATAACCCTAAAAAGGATTACGTTAGGGTAGTGTCAGACTACACCAATATTTACGCACGGTGCTCTAGTAATCTCAAGTCTAAAGATCACATTCACCATCATCCATTAGAGGATATATTCTATAGACACTAGGTTACCATCTATATGGAACCCTCTAGTGTGTCAGTCTAGTGAACTTACCAAATACAAGCACTTAAGCGTTGCACCAAGTTGTCATCAAACAACTTTGACAAGCGAGACTTGTCACTACCTTTTGATAGGGTCGTTCAACACTATGATAGCCTTATCATATTATCTGTTCCCTAGTTCAAGATAATACTGAGGCCACGGACGATTCTAGAATAGCCATGATTTGTGATCATAGGGTCCTCATAATCAAGATTTAAAACACTTGATACCCTCATCATGATTCTACCACTCTAAGGGCATATATCAATATATTGAATAATATAAGCATAATGATACAAAGATTTTTCCTTTATTAATATACTAACATGTGTTTTTACAAAGAGTCAATAGCTACTATTGAATTGGCTCTAGGGCACCTGTAATCTCTCACTAGGCAAGTATTCATTAAGTATCCTATAGAGAGAATCCAGAGAATTGCTAGCTTAAAAAGGGTGTTCGTCTAAATTTTTTATCCTTAATCCAGTTATAAAATACTATTACACAATGACTATTTCTCACATATATAAAAATAATAAGAATCATTTTCTAATGTATTGGAAAGCGTGAAGATGTTCTCTAAATATTATTACTACCAAAAATACATACATAAATCCACATTAATTCCTTCACTGAGACATTGTATGCAACCCTCTTGCCAACTTGACATCTCCCGACCGTTACAATCTAATACCTGCAAAAATAAAGAAAGCAACAGGGTGAGCTATAAATGCTCAATAAGTAAATCAAATCTAACTACACTTTTACTTCGTTGTCCCCGTTTTTGCTGTACTACTTCTAAATTTCTGCTTGCTTTCTCTCTTTATTCTCAAGCGTACTACTTAGTAGTCTTCTATTTTTCTCAAATCTTTATAATGTTGTGCTATTCTTTATCATTTTATTTCTCTTCTCTGCTAGATTATATCTTTTTGTTTCTTTCTCTACTCAACAAATCGCTAAGTTTCCTTGCTATTTGTCATGTTTCTAATTTCTATTCTTTTCTAGCATATATCTAATTTTTGTTCCTTTCTCGTATATCTCTAATTTCTTTTCTATTCTTGTAGGCTTCTATTTTCTTTTCTTCTCTATTTTCATGGACTTCTATTTTATTTTCCTCTCTATATTTATGGGCTTCTATTTTCTTTTCTTGGCTAGTCAGGCATGCAATAATAAAATAAACTCTTTAATCTATGCATAAATGCATAAGATGCAATGCACATAAAATGTCTGATGCATACGCAAATGATCATGTTTGTATTCTTTTTGAAAATTCTTTTCTAATTCTTTCTGAAATTCTTTTCCTTTCTTTATGAAATTCTTTCTGTTTTCTATTTCTTA